CCCCCCCCCCCCCCCCCCCCACAGTGAGAATGAGTTGGAGACCCCTGCTCTACAACATCTGTAACTATAAAACCTGTTCATGTAGCACATTTGAACCGATGTCAATAGTTGCTTGAAGAACCTGGGACTCTATAAACACAGTTTCATGTAGAATATGTGGAACCGTAAACACAGTCTTATAGAGAACACGTGGAACTATAAACACAGATTCATGGAGAACATGTGGAACCATAAAAACAGTACCATGTACAATGTACCTCCACTGTTCCCTGTAGAACATGAAACAATAAAACCCTTCATGTTCAACAGCTTCATCTTTTTTGAGTGGTGGGAAACCTGGAGCCCACCCCAGAGGTCAGGGGTGACGGTGGGCTGGGCCCTGGACAGTTCTCCAGTCCAGTCCAGTCCAGAGCCAAAAAAAACCATTCACAATCACATTCACACCACGGTCAATTAAGAGTGAACAGTTAACCTGACTCTGTACGTTTCTGGACAGTGGAAACAAAAAAAAACAAAAACCAAAAACCACACAGACAGTGGGACAACACACAAAGTACATACAGAAAGATCAGTTACCAGTGGGAATTGAACCTATGACCTTGTTGCTGTAAGGAAAGAGCTCTAACCTCATGTGGAACCTGAGGAGCTGTAAAAACATATTTGTGTAGAAACATGGAAACACATATAAACAAGGAAAACACAGAAACCGGTGTCAATGTGACATCATAGCGATGACAAAATGAGGTCACGTGACATCACAGCAGCAGCAGCATCTCTCACCTCTGCTGCTCAGGAGTCCAGACATCTGTGGCGGCAGCGGCAGCAGGAGAACCAGGACGAGTCTCAGGAGAACACGGGTCATCTCCTCGCATGTCCAGGAAACCCAGAGGATGAAGGTGATGGAGAAACTGCAGATGGAGATGAAGAGAAGGAGCAAGAGTTCCAGCTGAAGCAAGAATTTATATACTTATATTCAGAGGGCGGGGGGCGGGGCTGATGATGTCATCAACAGACTACTCCCACACAGCAGAGCTAACTCTCCCTCGCTTTTCTGAAACATTACTGTTCTCCTTTTATTGTTTTCATTTCTAAACGACTTAAATCTCACACCTCCTCCCCTCTCTCCTGCCTCACCCCCTCCCCTCTCTCCTGCCTCACCTCCTCCCCTCCCTCCTGCCTCTCCTCCTCCCCTCTCTCCTGCCTCCCCTCCCCCCCCCCCTCCCCCCCCCCCCCCCCTCTCTCCTGCCTCACCTCCTCCCCTCTCTTCTGCCTCTCCTCCTCCCCTCTCTCCTGCCTCCCCTCCCCCCCCCCCTCCCCCCCCCCCCCCCCCCCCCCCCCCTCCCCCCCCCCCCCCCCCCCCCCCCCCCCTCCCCTGCCTCCCCTCCCCCCCTCTCTCCTGCCTCACCTCCCCCCCTCTCTCCTGCCTCACCTCCTCCCCTCTCTCCTGCCTCCCCTCCCCCCCCCCCTCCCCCCCCCCCCCCCCTCTCTCCTGCCTCACCTCCTCCCGTCTCTCCTGCCTCACCTCCTCCCGTCTCTCCTGCCTTCCTTCATGTTTCACCTCCTTCTCCTTCTTTAAACATCAATTTCCAGTTTTCTTCAACAACATCTTTTCCTCCTCCTGTTCACGCGGCTGCTCCTTCACCTCCTTCTGTTTCTACTCCCAACACGTCCTCCACTGCCGCCTCCTCTCTCTATGTTTTTACCTCCTCCTGCACCTCCACTGCAGAAGTTTCTGCAGGAAAGAAAAACAACCAGGAACACTTGTAAACTGTAGAATGTGGAGCGCACACTCAGAGGCCGACACGACATGAACGCACAACGTCAAACAAACAAAGATCATTGATTTAGAATGTAAATAAATACAGTTAATAAATAAATGGACACAAACTCCCTGTTTCCTGTTTACACGTGTCTCAAAGCGTCCTCCTCACAGGCACGTGTTGAAAACACTAGCACCTTGTTAAGTGAGGACATGAAGATATTGGACATCTGGAGTGGACGAGCTAAAACATGTCCCTGTCAATCAAACAGGACCCGCCTCCTCCTGTGAAAAACCTACAGATGGAAGACAGTTTGTTTTCCAAGACCGTGGGTCCAGAGACAGCCACCATCATTATCCTGTGAACTGCTGCTGACAAGCTGCTAATTATGCCATAAAATCAAAAGTCCACTTGTCCAAGTCCAGACTAGAGTCTGTACCACAGTTTGGACCAAACACTGGTCCAACAACAAACACCACATCAGTAAAGTGGTAATGGTCACTGGAGAACAATAACACAACAGCAGTTGTTAGTCTATAACTGAAGCTCCAGACTAAAGCTCACGACACGACACCTTAAGTCAGCTCAAACAGTTAGCAGAATAAATAATAGAAATACAGTCACAGGATAACAATATAAAACTTAGAGTAAAATAAACTTCTAGAAAAGGTTGATGATTTGATTTACCATCTGAGCCCAAATAATTTCAAAACATCTTGTACCTACGGATCTGAGTGTTTTTTTTTTTTTTTTTGCTTTTTCTCAACCATTGCGGTGTTCAGGACACTCATTAAGGAGAGCTTCACCATCTTCATGTCCAGTTCAGGGACAGGAGGAGTGTCTGGACGGACTCCTGTCCTGGATCATGCTGTGTTCGGAAGCAACAGGAAAACTAAGTTAAATCATGACACAAGGGTTCAGGGACCAGGACCATGGACAAGAAATGGAGACATTCAATCAGAAAGATGTCCATGAAGACACTCAGACAAGGAGACATGGACATGGAGGTACAGATGAAGACATTCAGACAAGGAAGTTCATATGAAGTAACCTTTAAGATTCAGATGAAGACACTCAAACATGGAGATTCAGAAGAAGGAACACAAACAAGGAGCTACACATAAAGACAAATGTCAGTGCTCAGTGTCTTAGAGTGGAGAGCAACTTAAGGAGGAGAAACCTTGGGTCTGGTTCTCAGCTGCTGCTCTAATGTGAAAGTGTTTGCAGATGTGCAGTGTAGACGCTGCCAATGCCAATGTGAAAAAAAAACAAACAACAGAACTCCAGGTTTGGACAGGCAAGTGGAGAGGAGGACTTAGTATTTTCCACACAGCCTACATCAGAAGTTGAGGCCTGAGGGTCAGCGAACACCTCCTCGGAGAGGAAATCCCCCGAAATAAAACCATGGACACACGAGCACATGCACACGTGCACATGCACACACACCAACAGCAACGAAAACAAGTCTTCACGGGTTCCTAAAGCAACACTGCAGGAGAGAGACAGAAACATGGAAAGACACAATGAGGGAGGAGACAAAGAGAGACAGATCTATTCTGATGATGCCTTCACTGACTGCATTACACCTGGGGATTTTCCTTTTTCTTCACTCCATGTCATTCTTCTTCATCCCCATTGTCTTTTCCTCTCTTTTCCCTTTTTGATTTTCTCGCTCAGTTTTTCTGCTCTGTGTTTGTATTTTGACAAAGATCTGGACACAGAGAAGCCGTAAGACCTTCGTCACCTTCTATTTGTTGACCACCAACTCTCTTTGTGTTACTAATGATTTGCATGATGCAGCTGTAATGATGCAGTACCTGATTCTGTCCATTCAGAACCTCATAGAGAAAATAACTCTCTTACATTTTCCTTAATGTCAATGGGATGATTCTAATTCATTCCCAATATATTTAGATAATTCACGAGGACAGGAAGTAAGTTATATCATGTTCACTCAGTCATTTCCTGTTACATAATCTGTTCTCTCACAGCAGCCGAGGATTGTGGGAAATTCTACACCCAGTGCTGAAGACTGGTTTCTGCTTGACCAAATTTCCAAAAACAAACAGACTCCACTCAGTGCAGCTCCCAACAGGTTGAGGTGATGTCAAACTCCCAGAATTCTTTGCTCTGAGCCTCTATGGGAAAACCTCATGACCCGGACTACGATTAACTTCCTTTATTAACAATCAAATGAAACAAGAGGCATGATGCAGAAATGAGTCTGGACCAGAGGTCAGCGGAGGTCAAACACACCTGTCTATCACACCAAACCTCAAACAGACATGTTCACCATCGTTCAGATCACAAATGACTGACGAAGCTCAACAGCAGACCATTTTCTTCTACGATGTCAGGTGTGGGAAAGTGGATGAGAACAAACTCATAAGAAAGAGCGAAGTGAACAAGATGAAGAGTCTGAAGAAAAGACGATCGTCTTCAACCTGACGACCTGAAATATGTTCCTCAAACCTTGATTCACCAAATTCTCTGCCGTCCTCAGGTTGGCGCTGCAAACATCTGTGAACGCACATGTCCTTCACACAGGAATGTGTGTGTTTTTCCTCAAGAGCACGTGTGTGTTTCACAGAAGGAGAGACTGGAGACAATGAGCTGTGGGTAGAAAAACAATCAAGAATTTATTTTAGAAAAATGAAAAAAAAAAAAGTCTGCAATCACACTCTCTTCTATTGAACATACAGAAAAACCCAGACGTTCACTGATGCCTTCACACACACACACACACACGCACACACACACATCAATCTAAAGAATTAAAAGTTCAGCTGAACTTTAACGACACTAGTATCATTAAATAAGACAGAACAGATGTGTAAACAAGCTTTTAAAAGACAAACAGTTTGACTTTTATCTCAAACTATATTTAACAAATGTATGTATATATATATATTATAAGCAAAACAGTCTAATGCAGTGTTAAAATTGTTCATTTTATTGTTAATGTATTAAAGTTGTTTTAATTCTGTTAAAATGGTTTAATTCAGTGTTTGAAAAAGTTCAATTCATCGTCAAAACGGTTTCCAGTGACATATTGTTAACCCTTATCTGATCAGACGGTTCTTTTGCTGCAGCTCAAAAGCATTAATGTAAACATTGGCTGCAGCAGCTAGGACAGTGACAACCATGGTCTTTAGGAAGAGTGGAAGTAAAAGGGTAGAAAAGATTAGAAAAAATAGATGGAATCACAAACAGGTCGCTGGGAGACTGGACAACTGGAACAAGCAAATGTATCAGGAAATGAAGGATTTTAGACCTTTGACCTCTCACCCAGGAGGCTTCTTCTACAGTGATGAAGTGAATGATAAAATATTTATTCTAACTCATTTCAGTTCCTACTTCTGAACTTTGTAGAATAGGAAATATAAATGTAATGAAGGAAAGTAAAAGAGAAAAAAAACTATAAATGTAATGAAGGAAAGTAAAAGAAAAAAAAAAATAAAAGAAAAAGAAGTAACAGGAAGTAAAAAGTCCATTTATATTACACCACAGTTTCTTTTAAAGATGTTCCACTCTTCCACCGACCACCTGACTGTGATACGATGTTAAAAGTTCACAGATTCTGCAGTTGACATCCCACAGCAGCAAAGGCACCAGTAGGTGGAGTCAGAGCAGGAAACAGGAAGTGCAGGGCTGTGGATGTGACTGGGTGACTGGGTGTGAAGGAACTGGGGTCAAAGCCCAAAGACAGAGAAAGTTGGAGCTTCAAAACTGGAGACTCCTTCCCAAGAACAAATGACAGATAGCTGGGAGTGATGGTCAGTGGTGACTGATTGGTCCTCCGTCTGTGAGGTCACTGCGTCTGTCCAGCATCCTGTAGACAAACAGACAAAGGATTTTTCTAGTTGTCATGTCTCTTTGTCCTGCTGCTTTTGTCCCTTTGAATCACAGTTTTTCTGTTTCCAGATTTAATTAATTAACACTTAATACGGCAATAATTAATTTGTTAAGGGACTGAAGTGTCATTGGTTGCTTAGCAACAGGCTCACATACTTACATTTGCGTTTGTCTTACAAACTCTGCTAATTCACGGTCTCTGCTGCACAAATCCAGGATCCTGTTCCGTTCCTATATGGGTCAGAGGTCAACACAGAGTTATTACTGCTGTGGCTACACTGATGCTAGTCACGCTAAATGAAGCAACTAATGATGCTAACATTGAACAGAAGAATTAGCAGCTTTATATTTAGTTGTACATACACACACAGATATGCACAGAGAAGAAGACACAGGTTTGTCTAACAATCAGGAGCAGTGGGCTGCACTACTGTGTCTGCTGCTCAGTCTTTGTTTGGGTCCAAAATCCAGGTCAAAGGACGCAGTGATGTCATGTGTATGATAGTGATGCGAATGTGAAGTGTATGTCCACCTCAGCCAAAGACTCACCTCTACAGACAGTGTACAATGTGGGTTTACGTCTCTCATGTCCTTGTTAGGGCCAGAGTCACGGCGACCGTAGTGCTGAGCCAGGTCATCGCTGTAGTGTCGGTAACACTGGGCCGTGACTGGGTCAGTCTCAAACATGGAGCTGAAACCGGCGGCACCCTCGTGAATTAACGATCCCTCCCTGCATCTAAAGGAGGGAAAAAGTTCAGGAAAGCTGCATCAAACCAAACATGAGGAAAGCTAACAGAGTGGGCAGTTACGGTCGTCATCTCTCACCTCACTGGATCCTCAGAGTCTTCACCACCCTGCGGTTCTCGCAGCGCCCTCACCAGGAAAAAGACGATACTAGATGACACCAAGAGGAACCCAGCCACAGATGCAATGGCGATGCCAACCACCAAAGGCTCAGAGACAAACTCTTCACAATGTTCACCGCGGTACCACCAGTTTTCCCCGACTCGACATCTGAGGATCAAAACCACATTTAACAAAAATAACAGAATAAAAAACGACCTTCAGTTTGGATTATTTCACTTTGTGTTTCTCTGACCTGCAGATGGCACCTTTTCCTTGGATGACATCACATTTACCGTCATTGAGACAAAAGTTTGGTTGGACGTCACAGACGCTTTGACACGGCAGGCCGTCCACGCTCACATAGCCAGCGTCACAAACACACTCAGCCTCCCCTGACCAACGGTTCACCAAACACCGTGAAAAGGCATTACAGGCCTGGAATTTACAGGGATCTGCCCGGTCACCTGACAGAAGACAGACAGAAAGTTCAGACTAAATCAGAGGGAATGGCTGTGAAAAAAGAGAGATGAAATTTGAAAAAGAAATGTTAACGGACGCTGTGGGACACATGTGGAAAGGAAGCAGAGATTAAAAGTAAACATTAGACAAAGATAAAAGGGAAGTAGAGGATGTTGGATTTTTATCAAATATTCCTGCACAGTTCTTAATCACCGAGCAGCTGACTGTGATAATCACAGACGGATGACGTCTCTCTGAGGTCAATGGCCTGTCTTCACTGAGGACCACAGTGGCTCGCCCTCAGATTACAGAACGTCAGCGGCTCAGACAGATTAAACAATTGATGGAGGAGCAAACTAAAGACCTGAGTCTTTCCCTGTGTTTCCTGCTCCAAAAAAAACTCCACCTGAGCGAGAACTAAAAAAAATAATGATGCTAATGTTCTAGAAAGCCTGACACTTGATCACAAAAATAAATAAATAAAAATGCTCTATCTATCTCAGGACCAGCCAGCCTTACTCGTGACCAGGGAAAGTCCTGGTCACCTCTTTAATTACCCAAACCCAACCAAACAAATGAGTAAACTTTACCTGACTCAACATCCAGAGAGTACTTGTCGATGGCAAGGTTCATGGTCTCGTAGGCGGTGTCAGCAAAGTCCTCCAGAATTAGGTAAACTACATTGGTGACACCTCGAGAAACTGGCTTGCCAAACCTCATTCTGCTATTGACCACGATGCTGCCATTTCTAAAGTTGAGGATCTCCAGGTTCTGGAAGTTGTTCAAGTTGGACTGTAGGTATGGGACCAGCTGTAAAGACAAATACAAACAGAAATACAGAATCAGAGATCCTGGAGACACTTGATAGATTTACGTACCAAGAATAGTTTGTTGCACAGCATACCAAGTGCATAAATTGTTCCTCGAGGGCCCTGTACTCAGTGGAGCTCCTGTTAAACAGGTCCATGGAGAAGGCCATGTTGGTTACCCTCAAGCTGAAGAAGACTGTCAAGGCTCTGCCCGGTCTAGTTGGTAAAGCGATCGCTTCCAGATCTGACAGATAGGCACCACTAGAGAATCCACTGCTGTCACCTTCAGCGTCAACTATGCCATCTTGGACCACATCGAAGCTGACGTTAATGGTTGGAAGACCATTGATGGAAACCTCCTGCTCAGAGGCGTGGATCACAGGAGCCGCAGTTTTGTTCATGACTTCCTGAAGTGGGAAGGTCGTTTGGAGGTCATCGTCCAACCAGTCTTCACCTGCACTTCTCACTGGAAACTCTTCAACATCTTCATGAATTTGAGGCTCATGCTGAAGCAGATCTTCTTCATCTGGTTCCAGGTCAGACACTCGAGTAAACGGTGAGTCCTCTTCAGGAGAGACTCTGCTGCTGTGGCTTGAGCTTGTGGACAAAGAGACAGGAACAGTGATTGTCGTGGCGGCCACCATGACTTCATCTAAGACAAGATCTTCGTCCAACATTTCAACCACTGCTGTTGTTGTAGTTGAGGGGTAAGAGGATCCAACATGCTGCTCCTCTAAGACCTCAACTCCCTGGTATTCTGCCGTTTCTGTCAACTGTAGCTTGGGTTCGTCTTTGAGCACCTGGAGTTCTGTTGTCTCCTGTGTGTCCGCATTAATGTGGGATTCTTGGACTGTTACAGTTTGTGCCTCTACAGAGACGGGGGACGTGTTAATTGAGGGAGATTCTGAATTTAAAACTCCAACCTCCTCAGTCAATGCTGCTTTGGACCAAACTGTCACATCAGGAGGTTGAGACACTGCAGCAGTTGGTACTTCTAACGCCTCAGGCGATACCTCAGGTACAAAGACTGAAGAATCAGTGGAGTCTCCAAACAGAGGAGCCCTGTCAGTCCAGCTCTCTGGTCCAGCAGCCTCTGTGACTTCCTGAAGAATCATCTGTGGTTCTGTTAAGAAGTTATCTTCATGGATTCCAGATGCTTCAAATGTTTGTATTGATATTTCATCCTTGAAAGTTTTCTCAGGAGACACCGCGGGCCGTTCAGTCGAGGTGTGGTAGAGTGGGGTTGTCGTGAAGTGAGGCGTGACCAAAGTTTGAATTAATAATGGTTCTTCAGTGCCTCCATTATGAACTGATTCTACAAAGTCAGAACCTAATGTTGTCTGTGAAGGTGGATCCTTTTTTATTTCTTCTCCTGTTTCAACCAAATCTTCATTGTAATCTGTTAGAGTCAACTCAAACCTCCAGTCCTCGTCCTGGACTTCATCGCCCTCATCTGTCTCCTCTAGATCAGGGGGTGGGAGCAAATCAACACTAACATCGTCTTCAACGCTTTGCCAGGACTGGACGTTGGATTCCTGACCATCTCCTGAGAAACCAGATCCAGATCCTTCGTCTATCGGAACTTGAATGTCTTTCTGAGGTTGCGTTGTGGGAGGACAAGAATTCCAGCAGTCAGTACTGCCTGCAGCTTTTCCATCGGAAGTGTTGACAAGAAATCCTTCATCTTCCACATTTTTCTCTTTAGTAAACAAAAAGAAAAAAACAGAGATTATCATCCAGAATAAAGAATGCAGACCACCAATACTAATAGAATTTCCAGAAAGTCTCACTCACTCTCTGGCTCCAGTTGCTCAAGCTCTAAGGTTTTTTCAGTAAAAGCGTCTGATGGTGGACGAAGTGTGCTCTCCTCAAACATGAAGACGTCATTCTCGCTCAGTCCTTCACTTTTAGAATCCTTCCACAGATCAAAGGGATCATAGATGAAGAGTTCCTTCTCATGGACTGGAGCATCAGGAGGTTTCTCCCCCGCTAGGGCATTGTCCTAAAAAACACATACTAAAATGATTCATATCATAGAAAACCCCAGAAAGTGATTGGTCTTTCCTGGTGGTTTGACACTGACCATGTCGTTGTTGAAGGTATCAGATGTTTGACTTGTTGGTTTCACAGTAGAGAGGATGTGTTCTACTTTGGAGAAGTGTTGAGGGATGTCAGGTAAGAAGATTAGATTTCATATATGAAGCTGTATTTTTATGTATGACCTCCAGAGGTCAGCGACATACCGTTCTGCAGCTGGACCTGGTCCTTCTGGTTTTCCTGACTGGTGTTAGTCAGGAAGTTGTCTTTGTGCAGAGCCTCAGTGATGAAATTACGGAAGTCAGTGATGGTGTAGACCACAGTGGGCTCCTCAGAGGCACCGTGGAAGTTCTCTTCCACCAGATTGTTTTGCACAAATATGAAGTCTAGGATTTCTTTAGGGATGCTGCCACCGCTGTCCACCTCCAGGGTGAGGGTGTAGAGAACCAGGACCACCAGACCACTGGGACCACAGAACAACAGTATATTTTGATCAGATGAAAGTCAGATAAGCCTGGTTTGGGTCAGACTGTTAGTTTGGGTTAGGTAATGTTTGTTTAGAGTCAGATACTGTTAGTGTTGATCAAGAGGAAATTTTGATCAGGATACTGAAGGTTTGGATCAGATTTATATCGGTTAGGGTCAAAATAATGTGCTACTTTGGGCTAAATAATGTTGGTTAGGTAGTTTGGGTTGATTATGTTGGACCCCAAATAAAAGGTACAGTAGCAGCCCATATGGTCAGACGGAGAAAGAGAAGGAAGAGAAGGACGGCACCTCGATAGGGAGGAGTAAAGGGAGAGTAAACTTTGAGTAAAAGCTCACTAATTCTTGCAGCAGGTGAGCATCGATCAGTGACTCACTAATCCAGTTAAGCAGCTTAGAACCTGTTGTTGTTCCTAAGAACATTAACTGGAAATTAGAGCAGAGTGTTAGTGTGTGTATGTGTGTGTGTGTTTGTCTTTCACACTCACCGTTCCAAGTCTTTCTGAGGCCTGTGTAAAACAAACATAAACAAATGATCAGAGATGATTAACCCGCCTCATTGTCCTGCCTCATTGTATTCACACTGGTCTATTTACTGACCTGAACTCCACAATGTTAATGCTTTTGAAGGTTGGCAGCTTCTCGAAGGCCTGTTCCACCTAAAGGCATTAAGACACCACACAGTGTGAGAGGTACAACTACAAAACCAAATACAAAAACAAAACATTCAGCTCTCACTTCAAAACACAGTGACCACAGCAAGGAGGAGAATTGAGAAATGACAACATCAACTGGAAGAAACTTCTAAAAGAGAGGCTCATTTATCTTCATCTAAAGGCGTCTAAATTGCCAATAGACTTTGTTTGTATAAATGTATAACTACAAACAGTACAGGATAACCTAAGTCTCGAAAAATGTTTCATATTTTGCTTAAAGGTCAATCTGTTAACACACCCTCTGAAAATAACTGCTCAACTATAAACACCGTCTCTTAAATAATACACTGTTAGCATAGTTGTAGCTTCAGTCTAACTTACCTTGCGAGTGACCTTCTTAGCCAGGTGCTGGTACTGGAATGAGCTGCGGTCCCTCAGAGCGCCACTGAAGGTTTCTGTCCTCAGTCTGAGCTTCATCTCCACCACCTGGTCCTTCAAAGGCCTGGGGGGCCTCAACAACGTGTCATGGATTTCATTACCAATCTAAAAGAGCAGCAGTGAACACAGAATCACTCTGATTAAAGTTTGGTACCATACACTGTCTTTTAAAGCCGTCACCCAGTTTTCTGCTCACCAAGTTCTCCTGTTGTTCCTTTAACTCAAAGCCATTGTTTTCTAACAAACTGCCGTCAGTGTCAAAGGGTATTTCCTGTTTTCTGGGGAATTTCTCTGGAAGCTCCAGAGAATATCCGTTGTTGCTCTCCACTAGGTGTTTGGTTGTGACCTCCAAAGATGGACCAGAGGTGATGTCCTTAATGTCAAAATACGGGGAATGTTCTGCCAAGACAGCACCAAACGTTTCTGTGGTTTTCTCCTCTGAGAACTCAGATGGATTTTCCGCTGTTACTTCTTGCCACATTTCCCCTGGTTCTAATGATGTGACATCAGGTCTCCCTTGGAGATCTTCTAACATAGCACCATCATCATCAGTTGCAGGTTCTGGGTTGACCTCTTCATGGACAGAACTTTGTGAAGCAATACTAACAACAGTTACAGCAGTGACCTCATCGGAGTCCTCCCTCTGGATTTGCCATGGTTCTTCTGTCGTAACACCTCCTTCATTTTGGACCACCACTAACAGAGCGCTGTCATCTTCTGGTAGAGACTGCGGGTTAGTCTCTGCAGGAAACTCTGTTGTAACCTTCTCATCTTCCAAAATCAGCCCTGACTGAGTAAAGGTGTAAACATCTACCTTACTCTGTGTTGTGTCCTTATCGTTGATCCTTACTTCAACCTCAGAATCTTGCGGTCCTTCTCCTGTTTTTATGAATTCAGATGGTTCATCCTTAAATATGTTAGTATCTTCTGCCTCTGGATATTCCAAGTAAATTTCTTCTTCTGTCATCTCTTCAAGAAAGGTTTCTTCTAAAGGATCACCATCTCCTGCAGCTGTGATGCTAAGCTCCTCTTCTTCAACAGGATATTCTTGTTCGTTCACCTTCCTCGTTTCTCCCTCTCCAAGTTTCACATGTGTTTCTTCTCCACCTTCAGTTGGTTCTGCTAAGGCCTCAAACTGCCTCCCTTCTTCTATCTCCACCACCTTTTCTGGACTATCTGTGGTATGTTTCTGTTCCACTTCTTCAGTCTTTATTTCAGTTGTGTTCGGTGGTATCTCCTTGACCACTACTGCAGGAGACTCAGATGAAACATCATAGGGTTGTGTTTTGTGGTCAACATTCATGTTTCCTTTTTCCCCAATGGTTGTCACCACTGTCCAGGTTTCAGTGTCTGAGACAGACTGGTATTCTGGACTTACACTGATGAATATTTGAAGTCCGTCTTCTAAACCAGGAACAGTCAGCATGACATCTGTTAGGACTGATTCTGTACTAACTCCTAAGGCAGGTTCTGGAGGATGTTCTCCAGGTGTTATGTGCATATCATATCCTGGTTCTGTAAAGACAACTGTAGCTGGTGTAGCTTCAGTGACCAGTTCAGTTAAATCACTGGTGGCTTCTTCAGAAATCGCATCAGTCAAACTTTTGTCAGGGCTGAAAATAACTTCTTCTGCATAGCTACCCAAAGTGTAGTTAATGGTTGTCTCCTCCTTTAATTCTTCTGCTGATGTCTGATGAGCAGGTTCTAGAGCTACTTCATGTACTGAATCCTGTTTATTGATGGCCTCAGTACCAGGTTCTGGAGTGGTGTTTGTAAGAACCAAAGCCACAGCTTCTGACCATGACTTCTCACCTTCTGGAAAAACTTGTTGAGTAGTTAAAATTTCTTCGGGTTCAAAAGTTTCCTTCTCTGTATATGGGAACTTTTTTTCTGTATTCTCAGGAGTGTGTTCGGCATCAGAAGAACTGTAATGTCCAGTAGGTAATGAGGATGAAGTGGTCTCTGTTCCAGGGACAAAAACTGAAATGAATAAAAAGAAAAGACTTTTGTTTCAAAGTGGCATAGTCCAGGTGCATCAGAGGACACCAGGAGACTCAGGGATTGGTTAAGGTTTTACTACGAGTCACATGACTAGACCTGGACTTGTCCCTCCATTGACCAGACACTAAATCCTCTTACAAGTCTATTCTAAGACTAGAGGGAGCACAGAGGATCAGGAGGCACTGCAGACGTTGCTGACCAGGTTTATCCTCTGACATACAAGGGATTCTTTTTATATGGAGTCTCAGTGTCCATGTCCTTGTCCCAGTCACTTTCTGAGTCCAAGTCAATGTCCTTGTCCCAGTCAACATCTACCTGTATGTTCAAGTCAGTTTTTATGTTGTTGTCTCAGGCTATGTCTAGGGCCTCTACTGAGTCTCTAGAAATAGTTTGGAGTTTCTTTACTAATCTTTGTTTTTAGGGTAAAACTTGCAATTGCAATATTTTGGCTGTATTTACAATTTCTAGATAAAGTTAACGAACAGCTAAAAAAAACAGCCAGAGATAAGCAGAGGATCAAGAGATGATAAAATGCTAGCAGAAAAACAGCCAAATGTCACATCAAACATGGCAAAAAGAAAGATGTTAAGATGTATTTAAAGATGTAAGATGAAAAGTTACAAAGGTAAGTTTAGAAAAGGTTAAACTATGTGATAAAATATAAATGCATCTTAAAGATGATTAAAATGTAGCCCAAAGGTAGAGAGAGTTAATAGTGAGCCAAAATACTGTATATCTAAAGAATTGCCATGGTTTAAGCAAAGTAATAAAATACCAGAATAACCACCAATTAATTCAATGAGAGCCATCTTTGATTAAAGCATTTAATCAAAGATGGCTCAAGTGAACTGAAGAAGAAAAAGAAACAAGGAAATAGAGAAAGGCTATAGGTAAATATTTAACACAAGTGCTGTTGACCTGTCTGTGCTGCAATCTCTGTTAGTCCAACATGGTCAGTTGTTGCTGTCTCTGAGCTGCAGAACAGAAACACAAAAAGAGACAACGGTTTTATTAAATCAGCTGCTGTGACCTCTGACATCAGCAAACAAATATTAACCAAAATCATTTTGAATTCTAATTTAATTCAAAATTAATTAACAATGTAAAAAAATAGTTCTTAGCAAACATATTAAAGGACATCTTCAAATAGTTTCATCAAATCTCTATATACAGAGATATAACTGTGTCATAACACTGTAAATGTGCTGTACCTGCAACGACGGGAAGGAACTTCAGGAGGAAGAGAAGCATCAGGAGGACTCGGAGTCATGGAGACATTTTCACTGCAACAGGAGATGGAAAACACAATATTTTATATGTGTCACGCTGAATAATGTTGATGTCAGCTTCAATACTTTTTCTTTTCATATATGTTTGGCTAACTTTTAGTTTGCCAGTCATTGTTTTTCTTGGACTTAACATTAGCCAACCATTCATGTTCCTTTTTCACTAGCTTTCTTAATAACGCTATATGGTAGGCTAGTCAATAGCCAACTAGTGACGTCATTTATATTTTCAGTCATTAATTTAAAAAGAACAGCTTTGCAATAATCGGTATTCACTGACAACATACAGCTTATACACATGACTTACACAAACAAGTGTACGGTATAAAACAGGCAACTCGGTTAAAACAGTTTTGTCGGTTTTTGTTTAAAAACTAATTTGTATGTACTTCAAGAAAAAGCTCATCCGCGTGGACTGGAGGAATTCTGGCCCGATGTCTTTTGACTTGCCAACGCAGCGAACGTGTCGTTTCTCTTTCGTGTTAATTGCTAATTAAAGTGATTACAGCGAGCACCGATTGCGTCCCGTCACAATTGAGTTCCGGCGGAAGTTGTCTTTGCATTAACAATGTTCCTCCCCGTGACATGGTTAAAACGTGTGGTTAAACGTTTATTTGTACCGAACGTCCTGTTGCGAACGATTCGGACAAATACATCGTAACAGCACTAATACATAACAATATAATATAATATAAATACTTACACGTTTTACTCAGTGTTATAGCTTAAAATATAAAATATAATCAAAATATTATTATTATTATTCAATACATTTATAGTTTTTTAAACGTTTATTTGTACCGAACGTCCTTGTTACAGAAATGTACCCGTATTTAGAAACTTTTCTTCTCTGAACATTTTAGCCAAATTTTTGCCATATCTGCTTTAACATATTTTCATCAGATCATTTTAGAGATGCTTTAGAAAAACCTTTATTTGTTTAAATAAATTACTAGCTCTTTTGCTACGTTATTAATTGTTTTGCATTTTTTAAATTTAAAAATAAATTATTAATGACAAAACTATTGATAACAGTAATATAATACGTACCTGTTAGTGCCTGACATGGAGGCCACACTCTAAAACACACAAAATATGACAAATCGTTCAGATTAAATCAACCATATATAAAAAAGTGAGTTTCATTATTGTATATAAACTCACACTCCTGATGAATGTGCTGTGCTCCTCCGACCTGCTGAAGAAGCTGCCGATGTCCATCATATTAACAGAACCATTCACACAGGCACCAACCCAGAACTGATACTGGTCCTGATCTGGGAGCCGGTCCAGAAAGATCTTGAAGGCCTCCCACACAGTCTCTTGACAAACTGTACAATACAAGCACACGAAGACAACAAAATCAACATTCTGAACAAACTCCACATGACCCTGACCAAAATAAACCATATCAACAATGTCCTGTTCAGATAAACAGGATCCTGATTAAAATCAATGATCTAAATTTAAAATTAAACTATAATTTGTCGGCAGAAATATGGAATCTCATATTTTCTTCACAACTCAAAGAAATAAATCCTTCAAAAATATCACTGGAATTGTACATTAGTGTACATTAATAAAGAAAGACTTTTTTATTTTCAAAGTAAAATCTGTTTCAAAGAAACTTTGTGGCCTGACAACTGTGGTTTAGGTTTTGAACAGAGATCTGTGGTAAATCAGACGGGATGGTTTTTTTTGTTTGTTTTTTTTTGCCTTTGTCTACAGTTCAACATCTCTACAGGAGTCACAATATGAAGGTAAAAAAAGAAAGTGCAGGAACCTCGGAGGTGGAAATATCTGAGATGGTTCTCCACAGCCTTATCCAGTGTCTCCTGACTGCACAGTCTCACACCGCTGGGAAACAGGACATTCCTCTTGGTCCGAGATAGTGCAGCACCATTTCGGATTTTAGTGAAATGATTCCAATCCTTCATCGACTGGCCTACACCAATCCAAACAGGATCCTGTGAGTCCAAGTGACCAGGTGGATCTGCAGGGTCACAGTATGAATGTTTGATAAACACCAAAACATAGACATTACTCAGAGTAGCTGGGACAGTGCTGAGGAGGACTTTAGACTTGATGGCCCTACAGAGACATAGGTTTACATTTGTAGACCCAGTGAGAAACTATAAGAACTTGGAGAATGTATTTTGAAATAAGTTCCAAATACTGTGGTTCCTAAAGGTTCCATGTAGTAAAAACACACATTTGCCAGTCAATATAATATAGTCTAGAACAGGGATGTCCACACTTTCTCAGCTTTAGAGCTCCTTTTCAAATGACCGGGCTAAAGTGATCTACCTACATTGAAAACTATGAATATATATTTACTACCTTGATTAAATGGCTGTAGTTGTATGGCACAACACTGTCTGACTCAATACTTCTATGGTCCTTATTTTAGTCCTAGTGATTAGCATCTTAAAATAGAATTAAAACTATAATTTCTTTTTGTTTGTTTCTTTAAATGTAACTGCTCAGGATCTACCAGCACTCCCTCTGAGATCTACTGGTAGATCCCGATCTACTTATTGGGCACCCCTGATCTAGAATAACCTGAGCTTCGAAACACAAAAGAAACTTAATCTGAATTATTAACAGATGAAATACTTTGTGTTTTTAAGTTTAATTTTCTTAAATGCTGATGACATTCTGCTGCTTCTGTGCAATGAAGAACTTCTCCAGAATTAAAAAAACAAAAAGTGAAACTGACCTGCTGCTCTTATGCTACTCATCCCTGAAAGCAGCACAATTCCGAGTGTCCACATCACTAAACACCTAGACTTCATTCCCGTTTTCTTCATCAGATCTTCTCACTTCCTCCTCCTCCAGGCTACCCTGGACCCTCCACGTCTGAGCTTCATCAGGCAAACATTTCCAGCAGGAAATGGAAAAGGAGGAGGAGTAAGGATTTTCTCCAGACGCTGGTTTACTCACTTTGCAACTGCTCGTCCTCAGGTGAGCATATGGAGATTTTTTCTCTTTGCTCTAATCTGTTAATCTGGATTAACACCGACAGAGCCATGAGAGCTCAGCCACACTTACAAGAAAATCAAACCAGCCCGGACTCAGGGTTCAGATTTGCATTTAAGGTCACATTCAAATCCTTAAGGACTCTGTCCGGAACTCGGAATCGTTCACTGTCTATAATCAATCATTAAAGTCCTATCAGTGGAATATCTTTACTGCCACAGACTCAAGCACAATCGAATGGAATCTTAACAGTTGAAATAGTATCGGGACAAAATCCGAGTCAGAACTCAACCAGAGTTCATTCTGGATTAAATCCAATTGAAGAGATCAGCCGATATTCCACTGATGTTCAGCCAAATCTCATCTAAGATTAAGAGAACCTGGACTTCGGCCGAAGCTGATCTTGAAGAAGCACGGCAGACTTGGAGACTTGCAGATCAGACCTGCTGTGGGGTCACCTCTAGAACCATCTGATAAAGCAGGTTGTTTTTAAGATAATGCTATATGTATATAAATACTGTGTGTGTATATATATATATATATATATATATATATATATATATATATATATATAGGATGGATTAGGGATAATTAGGGATGGAAAAATAAAGTTTTATTGTGAACAAATATTTACAGGCAATCAGTAAAAATACATGCTGTGTTTTGATTTAATGGAATATTAACTCTGTTTTTCTCAGGCGTCAACCTTTGACTGTTGTGCAGCTTCAGGATGAGGTGTCGGATCTCCTTGCGCTTCTGTCGGACCAGCTGACGAGGAAACCACAAGTCCAATCGACACGGGAGCTCAAAGTTCACCACTGGGTTCTGAGGAGCCAAACAGAGAGCTGCAGTTTAGTTTAGGCACAGAGACAGCAGTGTTGGAGATACAACCAATAAGGAGGCGATGTTTTATTTAAAACCAAATAAAAAGCTGTGATCAAGGGACATCTAATAAAATTAGGGAGCATCTGTGTGACTTCAACCATGACACAAAGCAAATATTCTGTGGAATCGGCAAGCAGAATTGTTAAGCAGGCAGAGCACCAATTCCAAGGAATCGCACCATCGTGAGCTGGTCATCTACAAGAACCAGTTCTGGATTCCCATCCCTACTAATTGGGTTTTTAGTTGGTTGTATGATTTACACGTCAATTGATTGGTTTAAAGACCTACTCCTTTGACAACTAATAGGTTACTTTGTTAAATGATTGGTTGGTGTGTCGACAAACCTGGAGGAAGCTCTGAGCGTACTGCAGCAGATAAACCCCACAGTCGCTGCTGTTATCCTGCTGAGGAACCCTGCAGCTGGAGCTCCTCATGTTGTCGGCGGTGAAAATCCGGTTGGTCCCTCGTCGCACTTTCCACTCCACCTGCAGGTACCTACATACAGACCTTCGTGTAAACCATCATCAATGACATAAAACTTACAGAACAACAAATCAGTTTCACTTACTCTCTGATAAGTCTACAGACATTCTCATGGTTGGACATCTTTAAAGAGTCCATGACCAGAATGCACGGCCTAGAGAAGAAAAGAGAGAAAAAAAAGAAGAGAAATCACAACCAATACTTCAAAGTTACCAGGACATGAGATGAAGGGCTGAGAGTCTAACTTGGACTGACCTCTTCAGAACGGTAGTAAGGCCACAACCCTGTTGAGTGCACTCCTGCAGACAATGAGACAACAACTTCTGATTAATAATCAACCACATCCTGATAGACACAGCCCTTGATGATGATGATGATGATGACGTTGATGATGATGATAATGAAGATACTTACTGGAAGTTGGTGTGACTTCAGAGCAGAGCTGAGTTTCCCTAAAAAAAGACCCAATTTAGTCAAAAAAAATCTTAAGACATTTCCTGAAGATTCCAAAAACCTCCAAGATGTTTCCAGTCATTTTAGGCCCTGTTCTCAGGGTGATGACACAGCTTATAGAGCCCACTGGGCCTTGTGTTTAGACAAAGGGTGAAGAACTGCGTGAGTGCATGGCTGACATAGTGCCACATACAGGCCTGACATGTGTACTACAGGGACCGGTGTCGTATTGTTTGCACAAAACGGTGCAAACAAAACTGTAAGCCCGAGGATACTGTAGTCGTACTGTATCAAGGCCAAGTAAACACGGCCTTATTCAACAAGGTCAACTTGTTTCGCTCCATTACATCAACAGTCCTGTAGAACTTCTTTTTTTTCTACCTGCGGGTCGATGAAACTCTTCAAACTGAACATCCTCCAGACCTGGGAAACAGACCACCACTAGAAACCAGTGTGCTCTAAAAATATAACACAAAGTACACACAACAGTGGTTACACAACAGCATGACTTCAACTGCTCAAGATCAGAGGTCACACCCTTACTCTTGATTGACAGGCACAAACAGGAAGTCTTTTGTAAAAATGTCCACATGACGTGTCCACGTTTTCACCCTCTGGTGCCTCGTATGACAATTCCTGGCAGGAAAATAAAACAGATGTCAGCTGCCATCACGATAAACTCAGGGTTGCTGTGTGAATTGACCATTTTTCGTACGGGACAGAGGGGGCGCTGTCTTCGCCAGCAACGCGGCGACGGCTCAGCTGTCTGTAGAAGAAGCTGCTGAAGACATGGCTACGCTCAGTTTTGATCTGGTCCACTGCCTCCAGGAGGAGAAATCTAAAAATGGAAGAAACGTTAGGACAGCTGCAGCACCGTGGTCTTTCTGTCAATGACAAGGAAAAAACATGTGACGCTGACTTAAGGTAAAAGTCGATGATGACGTCATTCAGGAATTCCCCAGCATCCAAACAGGCCAGGTCTTCCTTGGTCACTGTGATACTGCCTTTTGAGGGTGGTGGCGGGTACTGGATCAACCTAGAGCAGCAAGGAGACTGATTTCAATTGTTGAACTAGTTGTTGAGTTTATTTATTTTGTTACATTACAAGGTCTCACCTGTTAGGAAGCTTTTGAAGGTCGGGTGAGTCCAGACTTGACCTTGTGTTTCTCAGACTTTTTTTAGCTAGACCAGACCCAGAACCAGACCCATATCCAGAACCTGAGATCTGCACACAAGTTCATCTTGGTATAAGTAAACTGACTTCAGTCATTCATTGAAAGGCAGCAAGATGTCTTGCTGACACTTACATCTGCGTGTCCAAGCAGCGACAGGAGGTGCTGGTCCAGTGGAGGAGGACAGCTATGCACAAGCATCAGGCCGTCTGCCCAATTTACAGGGGAGGAGCAGCAGGAGGAGGAGGAAGAGCGCCCCTTCCTGTACTCCTCTAAGTCCAACATGGATGCCAGCAGAGCGGTCTGAAGCTCCTTCAGCTGCTCCTTCATCACCAACAGGAGGCAGCAGCATGGCACTGCTGGAGAAAGAGAGGTGTGGTCATTGGTGATGAGGATGGAGCTCTGAATACGTTTCAGGGTCCAGTTCTACCAGTTAGAACCAGTCTAACAATATGGTTAAAAAAAACACACAGTTGAAAGTGTGTTTGAAATAGTGAAACTAAATGTCAAATTCAGTTCATAATATACAACAGCAAATAACCAGTTTAAATGAGTCAGTCCTGGTCAGGCTGCATGGACAAACAAACAATAAACAATATCAACATCAAACTAGTGACGTGTGTCTGCAGCGTCTTAGGAACATGGACTAATTTGAAGCTAACTATGATAAATGACTGTTCTAAGCAGCACAAAAAGTGTCAGCTCACACGTGGTTGTGGACGGTGTGGTCAGTGTCATCATGGCCGACAGTTCTCTCTGAAGTAGATTGGCCTGAGCATCAGTCACCCAAAGAAAGAGCACTGAGGGGCTCGGGCCCTCCCACTGGCCCAGGAGAGCCCCACCACTGGCCATGCCTCCATCCCATACGCCATAACCTCGGAGCTGAGACGCCACAATGGTAACATCACCATCCTCTTCTGCGGAAACTGAAGAAAAAGAAATGTGTTTATTTAACCTGAACAAAAATATTATGTGAAGTTGACATGTGGCAATTGAAATGACAAAATGCACTGAGATAAATTGGTTTAATCTAGTCTAAATGTCAGATCTGTATTTAGAATAAACCTGTCTAAATATATGTGTAAGTAGATTTGACCAGAATTAAACTGTGTTAATGTGTCTGCAACCAAAATTGACCAAAATAAAAAAGGCTAACTATTGCTGTTACTGGATTTAACCAGAACAAACAAGCCTGAATGTGTAACCAGATCTTACCAGTCTAAACAGACAGGATGAGCGTGCCTAAATACCTGCATGTTTTTATTTAACCAAGTTAATCTCATTCAGATAATAATTCTGTTCCCAAAAACACAACACACTTAAAACAAGACAAAACAAAGTACAAACATGGCAGGGGTAAACAAAGAATAAACCAAACAAACAAAACAGAGATTTCATAATGTCTTTAAATTGATTCATGGAAATCTGATCCTCGTGTTTCAAACAGTTCTGTAGATTATTCTAAGATGTTGGTGCAGAGAACAAGAACTGATTTAAACCAATTTTGTCTTAGGATGTAGACATACGTCACCTTTGACAGGGATCACCAGGCCTTTCTCAGTCACCTGCACAGAAACATGACTCATCAATCAAAAAACTGCTGACTCAATGCTGAGATTTCTTTCTCCGCTTTTGTGTTTCGGTGTACTCACCATCATCTTCCCGTTGGCCTTGACCTCTGTCAGGCCAATGTGAAGGGAGGAAAAGTCAAGCTGCAGGCATGCAGGCCCGGCTCCTTTCACTGGCACGTGTTCTCCGTCTGAGGACAACCCTGGCTAACGACGTGATCCAGAAATGTATAAATAGAGAATTCAATCTTGTTAAGCGTCCTTTATAAAGGGTCTGGTTCTTTCTTACCAGTTCTGCTGTTCCACTGCTTTTGCTCTGGGACATATTAGCTGCACCCTCAGCTATGCTCTGGGACATATTAGCTGCACCCTCTTCTACATCATCATCGTCATCATCATCCTCCTCCTCCTCCTCCTCACTGGACAGAACAACTGAAGAGCAGAGACTCATCAAAGACCTAAACCTGCCTTGACTGTATTTCAAACCTGTCCTTTGTGTTCTGCATGCTGAAAGGTCTGGTCTTCTGTGGTTCTGGTATCTAAATTCTAGTTTTCCTTAATCAGGGTATAGATTGATCTAGATTCTAGTCTCTGTGGGTTCTAGTATTACTTACTAGGCTCCGTTGGACCCTCTCTGCGTTTGTCTTTCCTTGTTCTGAGCTGGAGCCGCCTCTGTTGGTCCCGCTTCCTAAAATCCACCTTAGGTGTACGGTCTGTGTCCAACCTCTCTGGACTGTGCTTACTAACTGCAAAAGTCATGGATGCAGATTTGGGGGGAGACGGACCGAGGACAAAGTCCTCCTCTGAACTGGACTGAGTTGAGTGGAAAGGTCTTTTCACAGAGCCTGGTCTGAGGTTCTGAAAATAACAAATGTAATGTTATTCTACATCATCAGAAGTAACTCATGGCCCACCGGTCTGGACTCACCTTGCTTTGACATTTTCCTGCAGGCCTCTGTGCTCGAAATTTAACAAGGGTGTCCACAGAGTCCACAGAGTCCACAGAGACGGACAAGACTGGAATTTTATACCAGGATCTAGATTAGGAATATGGTCTATAGATCTATTAATTAAGATGGAGACAATATTCTTTACCTGAAGGCTCCACAACCTTTCTCTGTGGTGGAGTAGATAGACGCAACTGAGCTTTCACTTCCTGTCTAAGCAGCCGATCTGAGGCTCTGTGAGGACGCCACCTGGTGGAAACAAAACCTTCATCAACTCAAGATAAATCTTACAAACTTTAAAAGAATACTTTATGGTCCACTCACCGGTTTGATACAGACGCCACAACCGCTCTGTGTGCAGAACTGTTCACTGCTTTGCGAGTGGTGTTTTCTGCTGATTCCTCGCCATCCTGTAGACTGCCGATTCCCAGCAGTTTTTCCACCACGTCCTTGAAGACAGTTGGACGTGACATCCTAAACAAAAATTTTCAAAAATATGATTCAGAGACTGGAGTAGGATGAGGGCTGCAGTCGGTAAGTGGAGGTTTACTCACCTGCCTCCCTTCTTGGTATTGACTCTGTTAGGCTGGCTAACATAATTCTTCTGACGGACAGGCAGAAGACAAAAAAAGTACATCTGTTACCTGTCTGATATCTGTCATCTTTGATAAATTACCAGTATGCTGATGGAACTTTATCAACCTGTTTTCATTAGTCTTAAATGTAAGTTAAAGTATCAACTGTGTACGTCAACAACCTTCAGAAACAGGTGCTAAATATGCAAGCTTAACAACATCAGTTAAATGGTAAACAAAACAATCACAATACCACAAAAACAAATCCATAATTTCCAAATATCAACTGGCCACATCAAAGGTTAGTATGTATCACTAGTACAGTATATGACAACACAGAACACCACTTTTAACTGAAGCCCATGAGCTGAGAAGGCTATAATTCCACCAGATTTAGGAGTAAAATCAGAGCGTTGAATATTATATTACCTTTAACTGTGGGGATGGGCAGTCAAGGCGAGCCAGCGGGGACTGTATATAAGCAGAGTCACCATCTGAAGGATATTTTCTCTTTGGGATTTTGAACTGTGAAGCCATTCTATCACAAAAAAAGGATTATCATCAATCAATCTTCATTGAAAACAATACATATTAAACCTCTCCTTTGATGGGGAGAAAAACATACGTTTTTGGTCAGTGTGTCATTTTTAAGGTGCCTGAATCTATTTAAAGCCGGTACACAGTTGCTGAAAATCCGATGTTGGTCCGTTGGTTTTCTGAATACTGACAACGTGGTTTACGGTTTTCTAAACGAATTATTGTGCGTCAGAGAGTTCGTATTTTGTCGAAAATAAGTCGAAATTACCGATTCTTCGGCTCTGATCCTTTACTCTCTTCTCACCCTCGAGATATGTCCTTACAAATACAAATAAAAAATCTACATCCAAAAGATTCGATGTTGAATGTAGAGTTGGTTTGTAGTCTGTCTGTCTAATATTTACATTTTTAAACCAAATTAGGGTTGCCTAACCGAAAAGGAGGAAGGGTTTTAGTCTTTATTTAAACAAACCTGATGTTTTAGCACGTTTAGCCGTTGCGCTATCTGTTAGCTGTAATGACTTTTCCTCTTTCTCCGTTTCAACTGTTGTAAAATATTCCCTTTTGGTCATGCAATAAGAAAAGAAAAGTGTCCATGGATGCAAATAATTATGAAGTTGAAATATATAAAAGAAACGTTTCTGTCTTTAATATTTCGCGTCTGTCTTTAATCAACAAATAAAAGGCACATCCGCCTTGACGTCACTGAAAGACGTTCTGAGTCTTTGGTTTGACTGGCGCAGGCTAAACAGACTGAGCTTTACTGCCCTCTGTAGGACAGGAATGTAAGCGGAAAAATAAAGCGAATACAAAATAAAGTGACTCTGGTTTGTATCCTATACATATATTTATATTAGAATTCCTATTGTAGGGGCACTGTCCTGTTAAAATAGTACACTTTTATACTGGTATAACTAATGTATTATTCGACCTCCCTTTTTTCATATGAGGCCTATTTAAAGACTAATATTCTGTACTTGTTCAAACTGTTATTTTGAACATTTACACGACAAAGAACTAACCCATTGACACATTGTCACAAAAACATAAGACAACAACAAAATACATGAAAACAATGACTTTAAATTGTTACGAAACACTATGATTTGTTGTTGTTGTAGTTCTAGTTTATATCCACAGGAGAACGGTAAAATAAAAAAAAGATCTGGAAAAAAGCTGGATGAAAGACGAAGAAGAAGGAAACAACGCGAGACTTGTGGGTGTTCTTTATTTCAACTGTTTATAATTACGACACATCACGAAAACACATTAAACATTTAAAAAATGGTAAAGGTGTCTGATTATTGTGTACTGTAAACAAAGCTCGAGGACATACCTTTAAAGTAAGCCGTATTGCCTTGTTCATTCAGGTTGTCTCTATCGCGGGATCTTCGGGGTTTAACACAACCGCTGCATTATAGTCTCTCCTTCACGTCGTCTCTGTCAAGCACAGTGAGTGTTGTAATATATACAGAGATGTTGCACGTTTCGTAAAGGAATCACTGAACAGCAACACATTTCCCGCTGCCCCTTTTCAGGAGATTGTAACATGGATTCCGCTGAAGGTAAGAAGTGTCTGTTAATCAAGGAGGTACTGCAACGATCAGGAGCCGTAGAGTTAGCTACCGGTGCTAACAGAAACATATCTTCTCTGGTGATGCGTACATTTTGACTGCAAAAACAAACCACGGTCATATGTAAAATAAATGTGAAAACAAAACAGTGTTTTTGAACCATGCTAAGGTTGGTCACTGACGTCATATTAGCTGACTAAAACAAAACGAATCAATTACAAATCATTAAGTAGATTGAAATAATCAATTAATTATTATTGCATTTAAAAACAATATTTTTCTTAATGTCTTGCATATATGAATATGATTAAGGAAGCGTGTACATCAATACATTAATAACACATAATTATACAATAAAAAAATTAGGTGTTTGGTTAAGTTTTGGCTAAAATCTTCCAATTTTCCAGTATTTCTTTATGTTTCATTCCGTTTATATTTTCAGGCATTTGTCTTTCGAGTTTACTGATATATTGTTCTTATATAATTTTTAAAAAAATTATATGAAGACCGTTTTTCTTACATATGAATTTTTTTGTGCTTGCTTTTAGCAATTTTATGATAATTGCTTATCTATATGGCTATACTTTTGTTTGTTGGACCAATATTGTGACTGATAATGATGATTAATCATTTAAGTTTTAAGTAAGTTCTAACTTACTTAATGGTCATTTTGTGACTTCCCAGGCATTAGCGGAGCCACACCCTCAGAGGAGATGAATGGAGCTGGAAACCTGATGGATTTCCTGGATGAACCGTTTCCTGATGTGGGGACATATGAGGATTTCCACACCATTGACTGGCTGAGGGAAAAATCCAGAGACACAGACCGACACCGAAAGGTGATTTGAGTCCAGTTAATTCCAACAAGATAAAACCAAGCTCATGTGTCATCATTTGATTGATGTCTTTCTAATGTCATTGTTCTGGTCTCCCTGTTCCTCTTTATCCTTTTATTGTCCAAAACCAGATCACCAGTAAGAGTAAAGAGTCCATCTGGGAACTGATTAAGAGTCTGCTTGATGCCTGGTCAGGATGGGTGGTGATGCTGCTGATCGGTCTTCTTTCAGGTCAGCCTGATTAAACAGACCAGGTCTTTGATGGTCTGCATGTCTAGAGCAATTTCTGTGATGCAGAAAAGTTGTCCTTCAGGAGAGAAACATCCTGATTGCTAATAATAACTTAAAATGCAGCTTCCTTTTGTGTAAACAAACAGATAATAGGCCTTATTAAAGCTTAGGAACACCTGAAACCAGAAATCTCAGTCTAAACATTGGTATTGACTCTCCCTCTTCCACAGGTACTCTGGCTGGAGTCATAGACTTGGCCGTGGACTGGATGACAGACCTGAAGGAGGGTGTGTGTCTGTCTGCGTTCTGGTACAGTCACGAGCAGTGCTGCTGGACATCAAATGAGACCACATTCGATGACCGTGACAAGTGTCCACAGTGGCAGAAATGGGCAGAGCTGATGACCGGTCACTCTGAGGTTAGGGCTTTAACGAGTAGAAATGCAGCTTTGAAGAGGAAAAAAAATCCTTATGTTGTTGCGACTTTCTGTCTATAGGGGGCAGGGCCTTATCTACTGAACTACTTCCTGTATATTCTGTGGGCACTGCTTTTCTCCTTCCTGGCCGTGTCACTAGTGCGAGTCTTTGCTCCGTACGCTTGTGGTTCAGGAATCCCAGAGGTAAGTGTCTGATAAAGTTGTGAACCTTGTTCTGGTCCAGAACTAGACCTGAACTTGATGGTGGTTTGCTGCAGATTAAGACCATCCTGAGCGGCTTCATCATCAGAGGATACCTGGGTAAATGGACTCTGCTGATAAAGACAGTGACTCTGGTTCTAGCTGTGTCCTCAGGCCTCAGTCTGGGTAAAGAGGGTCCTCTGGTCCACGTGGCCTGTTGCTGTGGAAACCTCTTCTGCAGTCTCTTTTCCAAGTACAGCAAGAACGAGGGCAAGCGTCGAGAGGTTTGGAGATTTTAGTTTGAAGATTTTACAACTCTTAAAGTGTTTGGGTTTAAAAAGATTTGTCTCCATCCTTCTGCAGGTTCTATCAGCAGCAGCAGCCGCCGGTGTCTCTGTGGCATTTGGAGCTCCTATCGGAGGAGTTCTCTTCAGTCTGGAGGAGGTGAGTTCTGGATCAACACACACAACAACCATGGTTTTTTTAGAAGCAGAAAAGTTTTGCGTATCTTCTTTTCTGGAAACACTTTTAGCTGTCTGTGGATACAACCTTTTTATTAAGTAACCTGAGAAATCACTTGGCCATTAAATTTAACCACATTTGTCCCTTTGTTTTTTGGCCAGAAATTTAATTAAAATAATGATAGAAATGATAGTATGTTTGCTGTATTGTCAGTGTTCTTCTTTTCTATTTAATTATTGACCTTGGATTATTCCAGGTGAGCTACTATTTCCCTCTGAAGACTCTGTGGCGCTCTTTTTTCGCTGCACTCGTGGCTGCTTTCACTCTTCGGTCCATTAATCCTTTTGGAAACAGCCGACTGGTACTGTTTTATGTGGAGTACCACACTCCATGGTACATGGCGGAGCTGGTACCATTCATCCTCCTGGGTGTCTTTGGAGGCCTCTGGGGGAGGCTCTTCATCCGTGCCAACATTGCCTGGTGCCGGCGGCGTAAAACCACTCTTCTGGGGAAGTATCCCGTCCTTGAGGTGATCGCCGTGACAGGGATCACGGCAGTGCTGGCGTTTCCAAACCCATACACACGGCGGAGCACCAGTGAGCTAATCTCAGAACTGTTCAACGACTGTGGCGCTCTGGAGTCATCGCAGCTCTGCGACTACATCAACAACCCCAACATGAGCCGACCCGTGGACGACATCCCTGACAGACCCGCTGGTCCAGGAGTCTACACTGCGCTCTGGCAGCTGGCACTGGCGCTGGTCTTCAAGATCCTTATCACCATCTTCACCTTTGGCATGAAGGTCTGTAGCTGCTGTGACGGCTTCTGTCATGATGTCACAATTCTGTGTTTTTTATGTTTATGTGTTTGTTTTAATTTTCTTTGACAGTCAGATGATCAGCATAATCTCACATTGATTTATACTTCAGCACCACCAGGGGGAGTTTATCAATCCAGGTGATAGAGGTGTAAACAAAAGTTTTTACAAATAGCAAAAGGAATGTTTAAGGCTATTACTTCAGTGTATTGTGTTGATAAAGAAAGGGCACTTTAGTCTTTTTGCCCATTTCTATTTGTTTTTTTATCGTCTTACTACAACTCCCCCTTACAGCTTTAAAATATTTTTTTTTAATATTTTGATGTTCCCTTTAAAAAGATAGAGTGAAATATTAATCTAATGTATATAAATATCTGTCTTTGTTCAGTATGATGTTTGCAGTGCCTTCATTTGAACTGGTTTTGTTCCTGTAGATCCCGTCAGGTCTCTTTATCCCCAGCATGGCAGTGGGTGCAATTGCAGGTCGGATTGTTGGCATTGCGGTGGAGCAGATGGCGTATCACCATCATGACTGGATCATCTTCAAGAGCTGGTGTCGTCCAGGAGCCGACTGCGTGACCCCAGGGCTTTACGCCATGGTTGGCGCCGCCGCCTGTCTGGGTGAGTCAGCACTCGTCGAGACATTCTCATTAGCTTCATATCAGTGTTAACATCCTGGCTCTGTGTAGGCGGAGTCACCAGGATGACGGTGTCCCTGGTGGTCATCATGTTTGAGCTGACGGGTGGCCTGGAGTACATCGTCCCTCTCATGGCTGCTGCAGTGACCAGTAAGTGGGTCGCTGACGCCTTTGGGAAGGAGGGAATCTATGAGTCACACATCCAGTTGAACGGGTACCCGTACTTGGACGTCAGGGACGAGTTCACGCACCGAACACTTGCCACAGATGTAATGAGGCCGAGACGGAACGACCCACCACTGGCGGTGCTCACTCAGGACACAACCACAGTGGAGGACGTGGAGACCCTCATCAAAGACACGGATTACAATGGTTTTCCTGTTGTGGTGTCGAGAGAGTCAGAGCGGCTGATTGGCTTTGTTCAGCGCCGCGACCTGACGTTGGCCATCAGTGAGAAACTTTCTTTTTCTTTATCCAATGACTTCATCTCTGTGACACTCTGATCACCGGTTTCTCTTCCCGCAGAAAACGCTCGTCAGAAGCAGGATGGCGTGGTCAGCAGTTCGGTGGTCTACTTCACAGAGGACGCACCGCAGATGCAGGCATCAAATCCTCAACCGCTGAAGCTACGCCGCATCCTGAACCTCAGCCCCTTCACCGTCACTGACCACACTCCCATGGAGACTGTGGTTGATATCTTCCGCAAACTTGGTCTCCGCCAGTGTTTGGTCACAAGGAGCGGGTACGAAAGTCACATGACACTTCACCTCCATCATTAACTATAAGGAAGATACGGCCTGTACCAAAGTATAAAGAAAAGAATCTGTGACAGTAGCTCAGAGAGACACAGAATCTACTGCCTCCTGTGGTCACTTCTTGTCATTGAGGCAAATTTCAATTAAGAAGTCCTTTTTTTGTCCCACAATGGGGAAATTTACAAAACTTTACAAAATATAAATCAAAGATTTCGAACTGTCAATCCACAAAAAAAACACATCTGAAGTACTGCATTGCGTTAAAATCACGGATTTTCTCTACTGAGTTGAGTGAGTTAACCTGTTGTGACCTGTTTCACCCCTGCAGGCGTCTCTTGGGCATAATCACTAAGAAGGACGTGCTGCGTCACATGGCCCAGATGATGAACCAGGACCCAGAGTCCATCATGTTTAATTAGCTTAAGCCCCCCCCCCCCAGCTGTCTCCTGTTGACACTACAGAGTCTGTGGACTGGTGAGAGGTGACGACAACTTCCTGTTTGTTTTGAGGTCATTTATTACATTGTTGCTGCTTTTTATATGTTTCTTTAATATTTAAAGTTAAACAAATAATGAAGCAAATCACTGTATACAAGAAAAAATAAAGTTGCCAACATTGTGTTATATACATTACATAGTATAGTCAGTGCTGGCACGTTAGTTCATTAATGTAAAGAGTTGTTTCCTGGAGCATTACCATGGTTTTTAATCATAATTATTATTTTGAAGTCAGTTCATCACTGACCTATAAGGATGAACTTTGCCTCACAGTAGGAGAGGGGGGTCAGAACGGTACCATCTGGAGAAGATCATCTCATCACTAAGGTTTTATTTGGGGGGGGGGGTATGGATGAGGAATTGGACCTCACTAGTTCTTGTGGTTCTGATAAAGAAACCTTGGGTTTATTTGTGATTTTTGCACTTTAGTTGCTGCCATGTTAATATGAATAGAGATTTTACCACTGAGGCCAAGCTAACACATATTTATTCTGTTTGTTTTTTTGTTTATCCTTAAATGTGATTTATTTTTAAAAATATTTGATATATGTTAATCCTATTGTTTTATCAGTGGGTTTATTTTTGTGATCTTTAAATGTTTAAAAATAAAAGACTCAAAACATGTGAATGACTAACCTCTAACTATCACTGTTGTAGATAACTGTTGAATTAAAACCTGAATTGTTTGCAGCTGCTGACATTGAAGAAAAAAAAAACATTGTTTGTGTTCTGTGTTGAGGCTAATGGTTCACTGATAGACAACCATGTCAAATATTTATTTTGGTCATTAATTCTTTTTGTTTTGTTTTTAATTACTGTTGAAATGTGATTATGGGGAATACAACATTTGCACCTCGGTTTATTTGAAGGAAATAAAAACCTTGCAAGTGAAAAACAAACTGAATCCTGTGAACCTTGATGAATTTATGCATTTTATTTTAAATACATCACATAACTACTCCAGAGTTACTATGGACTGAGTCCCCTATACAGAGTAAACAAGTCATCCACACACAAGAAGTTGAAAATCAAGCAAAGAATAAAAACAGTTATTCAACAACAAAATGTCTATTTAAAAAAAAAAAGTCAAAAACCAAAGGTAGGCTCTTTTTTTATGTTTTTTTTTTTTTTTTTTTTACGTTAAATCAAAGATCAGCGTCGAGCCCGTTTCTCTGTTGGCTTTTCTAGGTCAAATCTGCTGTGTCATCTTTTATTATAGCTGGGTTCACGACTCAGTGACGCCCTCGGTCTCTTTACTTTTTTTTTCCAGTTCAGAGTAAAAGTGCAGTGCTCGTCTCACAGGCTCCAGGATGTGTTTCTGAAACGACAACCGGGAGGGACCGTGGTCTGATTATAACCGTTGTCAAATATTAACCTTCTGTTCATCTTCGCTAATCATTTAAATTTAGTCGGTACATCTTTAGCTCCTTTTATTAACTCTTCCTTGGCTGACTTCTTGGCTAATGTTCAGCTAAATTAAATATTAGTTGCTTGATTTAGTAAAATATTAATAATTAATTATGTTTTTGCTGTGTTTAATTTTTTGTGTAAACCTGTGATTACATGTAATTTATTTTAACTAATTTGAACAACACACAAATTTAAGGTATTACAAATTTTAAGCCTCGTTCTTTGATTAGCATTAGCATATTTCTCTCTCCAGGTGATAGCTTGTGACAACCTTCAGCAGTTTTTTCTACATTTATTTCATTTTGAACAATTTAAGTTCTATATTTTTGGCTAAACATTTACTAATTTTGCCTGATTATAATTACAATAATTTTAAGACTAAAATCTAAACTTTATCCTCGGGTTTGAAACGTTGGTCAATTTGGTATAAATTGTGAGATAGCTGGCCTTACCTCCAGACAGGGGAAAAGTTTGGTAAGTTCGGTGAAGAGCGGGAGCAGCAGGAAGCTGATGAAACCCGTCTGGGACGAGGGTTTGGACACTTTGTCCCGATCCATGAAGGGAGTGACGGGAAGACCGTTGACTTTCTCCATGTCGCTCTGTGGGGCACGGCCAACACACAACACCATCAATGGTGCTGCAGCATAATTCAGCAGTGATGTCACTTCCTGTGTTCACACCTGGTTGAAGAACTCCTCAAGCAGACAGTCAAGCCACAGCTCAGCCACCTCGATGGGCCTGGCCTCGTTGGAGATGTCACTGACCTTCACCATGATCTTCATCAGCTGAAGGAAAACCACAGCAACAATCAAGATGATGTTTGTTTTTACACTCGAATCGTATTTCCATCAAATGGAAAGATAGAAGTTTAGGTCAACTCCTCTGAACAGGTCCAGAAAAGCAAAACTATATACTTTTTTTTTCTTACCGATTACAGCAGCAGCACCCTCCCACCTCCAGTCAAAATGATAGATGTGCAACCACTAACTGTAATTTTGGCAATTAAAAAAATGCAGTTTGAGATAAGACGAAAACAAATAAAACTTTGAATTCAGATGTTGTTATAGCTAAATGTTTCAGGAATGTTTCTCATTCCTGCACTGCCCTGTGTCTTCCTGTAGGTTCAGGCCAAACTCTACAACATTCAGTAGCCAGTCTTAGGCTGGTCTGGTCTCATAACTCTCTGACAACAGGGGACAGGGGACAGAGGACATGGTTCTGGTTCTCTGGTTACCACTTCCTTGTGGTCCTTGTCGTTAAAGTCAAACGTGGCCTGAATGGCTCGGAACTTGTTCAGGATCTCGTTGTGTCGGGCCATGTCTGTGGCTAGAATACACCTGGAACAAAATGGAGATGTGAGGAAGTGCTGAGAGATCACTGGTCAGTAAACTGTTTGTGTACGCACTTGATAATTCCTGCTCGGATTTGTTGGAACTCGTAACTGCTGACATTTTTCAGAATGTTACACTCCGGCTGAAAGAAGACCATAATATTCTGACATTATACTTTTGGACCAGTGTCTGTTCTCATTTTTTTGAATTATGTATTGGACTAAAATGACTAAACACATATTTTGTCAATATAAAACAGTGATAAACAGAAAACTATTCTTATACAACAAATCATTTGTTTCTAGCTATGCTGATGATAATGTGTTGTTTTACATTTTGTTTATTTAAAAAAACTACACCACCAAAAATTCAAATGATGTTTCCTACCTTGGAGAGAATTCTGAAGGCAACAGCGCAGTGATGGTTTTCCAGAGGTGAGATGTCATTATAGCGTCGAGCCAAATCGGTTTGAGCATTAATCTGTTTTTTGTTTTTTTTGAACAAACCCAAGATTATAAAGCCTGTTATTACAAAAATTAGGTTAGGATTTGACCTGTGAGTGACCCCTCGGTAACCTGATAGACGTTGTTGTATCCAGGATGATCCAGGTCGTGACACAGAGCGGACGTCAACATGATCAACTGATCCATTTTATTTAATTTATTCCTGAGGTCTGTTATCCAGATCAGACTGTACATCTGCGAAACAAAGCCATGTTGGCATTAAAGAAAGAAAAAGAAAAAGAAAATCAAGTTAAAATAGAAATACATAAAAAACACACACAACTTAATTCAATTTTAAAA